TTTATTTTTATTTTTATTTTTATTTATTTATTTTTTTGAGATGGAGTTTCGCTCTTGTTACCCAGGCTGGAGTGCAATGGCGCGATCTCGGCTCACCGCAACCTCCGCCTCCTGGGCTCAGGCAATTCTCCTGCCTCAGCCTCCCGAGTAGCTGGGATTACAGGCACGTGCCACCATGCCCAACTAATTTTTTGTATTTTTAGTAGAGACGGGGTTTCACCGTGTTGACCAGGATGGTCTTGAGCTCTTGACCTTGTGATCCGCCCGCCTCGACCTCCCAAAGTGCTGGGATTACAGGCATGAGCCACCGCGCCCGACTAATTTTTATTTTTTTATTCACCTGGGTGTGGGTGGGCTAAGGCCAAAAAGGGCATTAGCCTTTTTTTTTTTTTTTTTTTTTTGAGACGGAGTTTCGCTCTTGTTACCCAGGCTCGAGTGCAATGGCACAATCTCGGCTCACCGCAACCTCTGCCTCCTGGGTTCAGGCAATTCTCCTGCCTCAGCCTCCTGAGTAGCTGGGATTACAGGCACGTGCCTCCATGCCCAGCTACTTTTTTGTATTTTTAGTAGAGATGGGGTTTCACCATGTTGACCAGGTTGGTCTCAATCTCTTGACCTTGTGATCCACCCGCCTTGGCCTCCCAAAGTGCTGGGATTACAGGCTTGAGCCACCGCGCCTGGCCTGGCATTAGCCTTTTTAAAAGAGGGCTGTCTTTTTCCACTTCTTATATTTGCAGGCCTTTTTTTGAGACAGAGTCTTGCTCTGTTGCCCAGGCTGGACTGCAATGGTTCAATCTTGGCTCACTGCAACCTCCGCCTCCCGGGTTCGAGCCATTCTCCCATGTCAGCCTCCCAGATAGCTTGGATTACAGGCATGCACCACCACGCCTGGCTAATTTTTGTATTTTAGTAGAGACAGGGTTTCACCATGTTGGCCAGGCTGGTCTCAAACTCCCAACCTCAGGTGCTCCACCTACCTCAGCCTCCCAAAGTGCTGGGATTACAGGGGTGAGCCACCACGCCTGGCCATTAATTTTTGTATTTTTAGTAGAGACAGGGTTTTGCTCTGTTGGCTAGGCTGATCTCGAACTCCTGACCTCAAGTGATCCATGTGAGCCACCGTGCCTGGCCAGGACCTACTTCCTAAAATGAGATGAAGACTACAGATTTGAAGGATTTATGGCTTCAGTTGCACATTGTGGTGGATTAAATTAAATTCCAAATTCGAGAGTAGGTCTTCCTAAAAGCCTGTTCTGTCAACTGGAAAGTTCTATTACCTGCTATCTCTGTTTTTCTTTTTTTTTTTTTGAGACGGAGTTTTGCCCTTGTTACCCAGGCTGGAGTGCAATGGCGCGATCTCGGCTCACCGCAACCTCCTCCTCCTGGGCTCAGGCAATTCTCCTGCCTCAGCCTCCTGAGTAGCTGGGATTACAGGCACGTGCCACCATGCCCAGCTAATTTTTTGCACTTTTAGTAGAGACGGGGTTTCACCATGTTGACCAGGATGGTCTTGATCTCTCGACCTCGTGATCCACCCGCCTCCACCTCCCAAAGTGCTGGGATTGTTTTTCTTTTTTTGAGACAGAGTCTCTGTTGCCCAGGCTGGAGTGCAGTGGTACCATCTTGCCTCACTGCAACCTCTGCCTCCCAGGTTCAGGCAACTCTTGTGCCTCAGCCCCCCAAGTAGCTGGGATTACAGGCTTGTGCCACCCCACCTGGCTGGTTTTTGTATTATTTATTTATTTATTTATTTATTTTGAGATGGAGTTTTGCTCGTTACCCAGGCTGGAGTGCAATGGCGCGATTTTGGCTCACGGCAACCTCCACCTCCTGGGTTCAGGCAATTCTCCTGCCTCAGCCTCCTGAGTAGCTGGGATTATAGGCATGCGCCACCATGCCCAGCTAATATTTTGTATTTTTAGTAGAGATGGGGTTTCACCATGTTGACCAGGATGGTCTCGATCTCTCGACCTCGTGATCCACCCGCCTCGGCCTCCCAAAGTGCTGGGATTACAGGTGTGAGCCACTGCACCTGGCCCTGGTTTTTGTATTTTTAATAGAGATGGGGTTTTGCCATGTTGGCCAGGCTGGTCTCGAACTTTTGACCTCAAGTGATCTGCCTGCCTTAGTTTCCCAAAGTGCTGGAATTACAGGCATGAACCATTGCACCTGGCCATCCTGCTGTCTGTTTCCACCTTTCTTGTGCTGCAGTATTAATTGAGTTTCCTAATGACTGTTTTGAGGAATATAATCTTTAATTATCATCTAGATATTAAAGATAAAACTTATTTTAGTACTATTTTTTACAGTTTAAAAAATTTTAATTAATTTTTTTTTTTTTTTTTTGTATAGACAATCTTGCTGTATTGTTCAGGCTGGTCTCAAACTCCTGGCTTCAAGCAGTCCTTCCGCCTCAGCCTTCCAAAGTGTTGGGATTACTGGTGTGAGACACTGTACTTGGCCACGTTTTTCTAATTTTTAAAAAGCTGGCCATCTGCATTTATAAAAATAGTAGTATGTAGCAGAGATCAGCAAGCTTTTTATGCGGTGGATCAGACACTAAAAATGCTTTTCAGGTCATACAACCTGCCAGTTACACAGTTCTACTCTTGTAGCAGGAAAGCAGAAATAGACAATATATAGTGAATGGCCTAGCTATGTTCTGAAAAAGCCTTGTTTACAAAAACATGTGAAGAGCTAGATTTGGGATCCCGGAGATAGTTTGCTGACCCTTGACCTGAACCATAGATTTGATGGGCAGAATGGTCCATAGGTGGTGAGTCACGGTGGCTGACACCTGTAATGCTAGCACTTCAGGAGGCCAAGGTAGGAGGATCACTTGAATCCAGAAGTTCGAGACCAGCCTGGGCAACACAGTGAGACTCCATCTACACACATACACACACACACACACACACACACACACACACACACACACTCTCTCTCTCTCTCTCTCTCTCTCCTCTCTCTCTCTCTCTCTCTCTCTCTCTTTCTTTCTCTCAGGAGGCTGAGGCTGAAGTGGGAGGATTGCTTGAATCTGGGAGGTCAAAGCTGCAGTTAACATTCCACTTCACTCTAACGTGGGTGACAGAGTGAGATTGTCTCAAAAAAAAAGAATGGTTCACAAGCCACAGTAAAGAACCAAGTGTATAAAAATTTAGTGTGAGAGAATTCTGCTCTGATTCACACAGAAATTCAAACATATATTCCTGCCATCCAGAGAAGCCTGTGTAGCTGGGCTACTGGAACAGAGCTACTGGCCTGCCCTGCTGTCCTTTGGTTCATGGGCTATGGGCTCTGGAAGAAAGTGGCTGACAGCAGAGTTGGGCAGGCATTTCAGAAAATCATTCTGGCACCCTTGGAACTTTTCTGGAGTTTTCTGCAGTAACAGCCTTGTCTGATCCATCAGTTGACAACTCAGGTCTCCTTGCTTGTTAGGCTTTGGCACTTAAGTGGAAAGAGAAAGAATAAGCATTAAGGAAAGTGAAAGCACAGCAGAGTCAACTTTATAGTCTCTCATGGTTTCTGCCATGGGAGAAAAATGGGCATTGTACTGCTCACAGGCAAAATAAAGAAGTAATCAACATCTGACTCACTGGAAGCATTGCTAAGCTGGCTCCTCCAGATGTCAGCAGGGCAGTTGCATCAATTGATGTTCCCTGAACCCTGAGCCCAGCTTTGAGGTACTCCTTGCTTCCCACCTGTGAAGTAACAGTGAGCAGACCCTTACCGTTCTGCTTTCTCTCACCAAAATGAGTGAGGTTTTGAGTATAGTTTCCAATTACACCACTTTGTGTGACTACTCTGTAATAGTGACTCAAATTCTGTTACAAGCTTCTTGGAGAGGAGAGTAGGCATCTTCTACAGCATTAGAATGACACGGTATTGTAATTAACAGTTTTGCCCTGTAAGAACAGGGCAGGTTATTGTGGATATAACAATTTTTTTTTTTTTTTTTTTTTGAGACAGAGTTTTACTCTTGTTTCCTAGGCTGGAATACAATGGTCAGATCTCAGCTCACTGCAACCTCCTCCTCCCAGGTTCAAGCAATTCTCCTGCCTCAGCCTCCCGAGTAGCTGGGATTACAGGCATGCACCACCATGCCTGGCTAATTTTGTATTTTTGGTAGAGACGGGATTTCTTCATGTTTGTCAGGCTGGTCTTGAACTCCTGACTTGAGGTGATCCACCCACTTCAACTTCCCAAAGTGCTGGGACTACAGGTGTGAGCCACTGTGCCTGGCCTTTTTTTTTCTTTCCGCCCAGGCTGGAGTGCAGTGATACAGGCTTGGCTCACCACAATCTCTGCCTCCCAGGTTCAAGCGATTCTCCTGCCTCAGCCTCCTGAGTAGCTGGGATTACAAGTGTGTGCCACCACACCCAGCTAATTTTTTGTATTTTTAGTAGAGACAGAGTTTCACCATGTTGGCCAGGCTGGTCTTGACCTCCTGACCTCAAGTGATCTCCCTGCCTTGGCCTCCCAAAGTGCTGGGATAACAGGTGTAAGACACCACACCTAGCCTGCGAATTATCTCTTATACCAGATCCCACTTTTTACTTAGTGCTATCAGCATAGCAGTTTTTATAAACATTCTTATTCTTCAGGTAGGACCTGTATGCCTCGATATCAAAGAGATGGAATGAGTTGCTCACTTTTGTTCCCAGCCTTCTTTCTAGAAATCTGCCTTCCTTCTTCCTGTCGAAGGTTAGTGAGCATCATCTCTTCTCTAGCTGTTACTACTTGCCTTGTACAGTGAAGGAAGTCTGGTGAGCAGCAGTCTATGAACTGCCCAGGGGTACCCTGGGTTGGGGGTTTTCCTAGGCCTTTACGTAGAGCACACAATTTATCCTTGTTATATGTTGTCATGTGGTTTGGGTATTTACTAGCATTGAACTTACTTGAGTGGACAGCAGTGTAGTTTCAGTCTATTTTTTATAATGTGTAAATTTGGGTGCTTTTATAGGTAGAAGCCACTCATTCTTCATCTACCCTTTTTTCAGTATCTGGCACCAATTCTGACCCAGTCATTTGTGATCCCTGGCTCTTGTGAAATGCCGAAGATTTCCAGGCAGTTTTTGTGGAACACCTCCACATCCAGCTCTAAATCAAGCACCATGTAAACAAGAAATTGCCTGGTCAAACCTGTGAGGACTGTATTCTGACTGCCAAAAAGATAACTTCTGACACCAGAATGGCAGCTACTCCCAAGTTGTTAAAACTTTTAGGACACCGAGCATTTCGCAGTCCATTTGCCTCCTGTGCAGCCCGAAGTGTGGCATATTGGAATGTGAGCAGCACACAGCATGGGGGCTGGCACCCTCCAGAGCACACAAGCCTCTGCCATTCCTTCTCTTCGTGGAATGTCCTCACAACCAGTAGTGCCCACCGAGGTTTGGAATTCAGCAAGGCTTCTTCCTCTGAGGCCAGCACATTGCAGCTGGGCTCACTCAGGACCACGAGAGTTGTTGAAGAGGATGTAGAAGCTTTTGATTCCTTCGAAGACACCCGAGTTTTTCTTGAGCTAAGACCAGAATACCGTCTTCACAGCTATAAATCCGAGACTTGTCAGCCCCTGTCTGTTTCAGAAGGTGAACTAATTTTGCACAAAGTTACAGTTTATCAAGATCATCTCCAGGCTCAAGTCATTGCTGATTATTTGTGTAAGCTGAGCTCTTTGCCTCCAGAGCAGCATTCTATCTTGCTGGGCAGTACCAGGTTTGCTCTGCTCTGCCAGCTGAGTGTGAAGAAGATAGAGCTCTTTGATACCCAAGATCTCATCAATATTTTGAAAGCTTTTGTAATTTTAGGAATCCCTCATTCCCATCCAATGCTATATGTATATGAGACCCAATGTTGCCATCAGGTATGGAATATGAGTATGGATCAGCTGCTTTTGGTGGCTGATCTCTGGAGGCACTTAGGCCGCAAAGTACCTCGGTTTTTAAAAATTTTTTTAAGTTATCTTAATTTGCACTGGAAAGATATATCCTTGTCCCAGCTAGTTCACTTAATTTATGTTATAGGTGAAAATCGTCAGGTATCCCAGGACGTAATGCAAAAATTGGAATCATTGATCTTTAAATATATAGATTTGCTCAATTTAGAGGAGATTGGTACCATCTGTTTGGGGTTCTTTAAATCGAGTACTAGTCTCTCTGAATTTGTCATGCGGAAATTTGGAGACTTGGCTTGTGCTGACATGCAGCATTTGAGTAGTCACGCCTTAGTGAATATTCTTAAAATGTTCCGTTTCACTCACGTGGATCACATCAATTTCATGAAGCAGTTTGGAGAGATTGCTCCTCAGCGAATTCCTTCCCTGGGAGTTCAGGGTGTCATGCACCTGACTCTTGCCTGCTCGGCCTTACGCTTCCTGGATGAAGGAGTACTGAATGCAGTGGCTGCGTCTTTGCCTCCTAGGGTGGTACACTGTCGAAGTAAAGATGTTGCCAAGATACTGTGGTCATTTGGAACTCTGAATTATAAGCCACCCAATGCAGAAGAATTTTACTCTAGCCTGATAAATGAGATTCACAGAAAGATGCCTGAATTCAGCCAGTTCCCAGAACACCTGATCACCTGCCTGCTGGGCCTGGCATTTTCGGAGTACTTTCCAATAGAGTTCATTGATTATGCCCTCAGTCCAGGGTTTGTCAGGTTATCTCAGGAAAGAACTAAGTTTGACCTCCTTAAGGAACTGTGTACTCTCGATGGTACAGTAGGCATTGAGTGTCCAGATTACAGAGGCAATCGTCTTAGTGCTCACCTTCAGCAAGAGGGGTCTGAATTGCTGTGGAATTTAGCAAGAAAGGATATGAATTCAAAGCCTGAATTCTTAGAAACTCTCTCTTTACTTGACACCATGTTGGGGGGGCCCCAGTACCTCAAGCACCATATGATTTTGCCTCATACCCGATCTTCTGACATAGAGGTCCAGCTTGATGTTAACCTGAAGCCATTACCATTTAATAGAGAAGCCATACCAGGTGAAAATGTAACCAAATTAAGGCTTAAGCATGTGGCAGTCAGACTTACAGATGATTTGATGAGTCAGTTACTAAAAGGGAAAGCAAGAGGACATTTCCAGGGCAAAACTGAGTCGGAGCCTGGGCAGCAGCCCATGGAGTTAGAGGATAAGACAGCTGTACTTTTGGGGGGCTCCCTTTGTAATGTAGCAGATAAACCAGGGGCCATGGAGATTGCTGGCCTATGCCCCCCAGCCTGCATGCAAACCCCAAGAGTGAAGCTGGCTATTCAGTTTACAAACAGGAATCAATACTCCTATGGCTCCAGGAATCTCCTTGGACTGCACAACATGAAGAGGCGGCAGCTGGTTCGGCTTGGCTACCGTGTGGTAGAATTATCCTACTGGGAATGGTTCCCAATACTGAAACGAACTCGCTTAGAAAAGTTGGCATTTCTCCATGAAAAAGTATTCACCTCTGCTCTCTGAAGGGCATTTAGGGGCATTTCTATGGCAAAGCTGCAGGTGTACACTGTACCAGGTGTTGCACAATGATTATAAAAGCCAGAATGTAAGTTTGGCAATAAAATAGTCTATTGAGAAGACTTAGCTGTGTCCAAGGCAGATTAGAGCCAGTGTATGTTGCTGTGAATTGTAATCTAGTTAGATTATACAAATTGTTGCAAATTTGTACATGTTACTCTTAGTAAGTAATAAACATCTTAATATGTCCTATGGTCAAGTCCTTGTTGGAATTTTCTGTTTACCGGCCTTATGTCACAAAGTTTTTAGATGAAAAGTAAAGTCAGACATTGTGTAAAGCCAATTTTTAAAAATTTTATTCTTTTCTGGAGACCCCCCCACTTACATATATTTTTATTATTTAATTTTTTTTTTTTTTTTTTTTTTTTTGGAGACAGAGTTTCGCTCTTGTTACCCAGGCTGGAGTGCAATGGCGCAATCTCGGCTCACCGCAACCTCCGCCTCCTGGGCTCAGGCAATTCTCCTGCCTCAGCCTCCTAAGTAGCTGGGATTACAGGCACGCGCCACCACGCCCAGCTAGTTTTTTTGTATTTTTAGTAGAGACGGGGTTTCACCATGTTGACCAAGATGGTCTCGATCTCTCGACCTCGTGATCCACCCGCCTCGGCCTCCCAAAGTGCTGGGATTACAGGCTTGAGCCACCGCGCCCGGCCATTATTATTTAATTTTTTAAGTCAGTTGTTGTTGTTGTTGTTTGTTTTGTTTTTGTTTTTGAGACAGAATCTCACTCTGTCACCCGAGGCTGAGTGCAGTGGCATGGTCTCGACTCGTGGCAACTTCTGCCTCCCAGGTTCAAGCAATTCTCCTGCCTCAGCCTCCCAAGTAGCTGGGACTACAGGCACGCACCACCATGCCTGGCTAATTTTTGTATTTTTAGTAGAGATGGGGTTTCTCCATGTTGGCCAGGCTGGTCTCTAACTCCTGACCTGAGGTGATCTGCCTGCCTCAGCCTCCCAAAGTGCTGGGGTTACAGGCATGAGCCATCACGACAGGCCTTTTTATTGAGATGGAGTCTCCCTCTGTCGCCCAGGTTGGAGTGCAGTGGTGCGATCTCGGCTCACTGCAAGCTTTGTCTCCCAGGTTTAGGCAGTTCTGCCTCAGCCACCTGAGTAGCTGGGATTACAGGCACCCACCACCACGTGCAGTTTATTTTTGCATTTTTGGTTGAGATGGGGTTTCACCAGCTTGGCCAGGCTGGTCTCAAACTCCTGGCCTCAAGTAATCTGCCTACCTTGTCCTCCCAAAGTACTGGGATTATAGGCGTGAGCCACTACTCCTGGCCAAAGCCAGTTTTTAAAAAGTGTTTTTAATATACCATGCTTTTTTTTTTTTGAGACAATCTCACTCTTGCCCAGGCTGGAGTGCAGTGGCGTGATCTTGGCTCACTGCAACCTTCACCTCCCAGGTTCAAGGGATTCTCCCACCTCATCCTCCAGAATAGCTGGAACTACAGGTGTGGACCACTACACCCAGCTAATTTTTCTATTTTGTGGTAAAGATGGGGTTTCACCATGTTGTCCAGGCTGGTCTCACACTCCTGACCTCAAGTGATCCACCTACCTCAGCCTCGCAAAGTGTTGGGATTACAGGCATGAGCCTCCATACCTGGTCTATACCTTGTTTTAAAATAAGAACCTCATGCTGGATATGGTGGCTCTCACGCCTGTTATCTCAGCACTCTGGGAGGCCAAGGTGAGAAGATTGCTCGAGTCCAGGAGTTTGAGATCAGTCTGGGTAACATAGTGAGACCTTGCCTCTACAAAAAACAAGCAAAATTAGTCAGGGGTGATGGTGTGTCCCATTAGTCCTAGCTACTCAGGACCCTGGGGTGAGAGGATATTGAGCCTGGGAGGTTGAGGCTGCAGTGAGCTGAGGTGGCACTCCTGTACTTTAGCCTGGGTCACAGACCAAGACCCTAACCAAAAAAAAAAAAAAAAAAAAAAAAATGGCCAAGCAAAGGCCAAGTGTGGTGACTCGACTATAGTCCTAGCACTTTGGGAGGCTGAGGCAGGCTGATCTCTTGAAGCCAGGAGTTCCAGACCGGCAACATGGCAAAACTCCATCTCTACTAAAAATAAAATTAGCTGGGCATGGTGATGCACACCTTTAGTCCCAACTACTTGGGAGGCTTAGGAGGGAGGATCACTTTAGCTTGGGAGGTCGAGGCTGCAGTGAGCCATGATTGTGCCACTGCACTCCCCCACCTGGTTGACAGAGTAAGACCCTGTCAAAAAAAAAAAAAAAAAAAAGCCCTCAGCTTCACTTATATTCTCATAGCTTCACTTACATTTCAGGATTTTTTCCTCCAACACATCTTTTCACGTACTTTAAAATTAAAATTCTTATTCTTGTTTAGATGTGGTTGATTGTCCTTAGTTGCTGATTCTTCTTGCTTTAAAGAGCCATTTCACAGTTGGTGAACTTAATATATTTCTCTTAGCTCCCTCTTCCACATTTCTGCTTGTCTTGCATAAACTCCCCCTACCCTCATAATTTTCTTCTTAAAATTGGACTTAGAAGAATAGCATTCATAAGCACATGTTGGGCCAGTGGTTCCCAAGTCTGATGCTTAGGCAGAATGGTTTTCATAGCAAGTAGCTCAGATGGGAAGGAAACATGCTACGTGTTGTATTAGGAAGTCCAGTAGGATTTAGGTTTGGTTGTATTAGAGCACAAACAAGGAGATTTTTTAGGTATATTAGTAACATAATATAGAGAACAGATGCGATATGTGTGATTTGCAAATAGTTTCTCTCATTCTGTGAGTTATCTTCACTTTTTGTTTTTAATTTTGTGGAAGTCTACTTTATTATTTTTCTTTTGTTGCTTGTGCTTTTGGTATCATATCTGAGAAACCATTGCCAAATCGAAGGTCAGGGAGATTTACCCCTATGTCTTCTGATAGTTTGAACTCTTTATATTTAGGTCTTTGATCCACATTGAGTTAATTTTTATATGTAGCATGAGGGAACAGTCCAACTTCATTCTTTTGCATGTGGATATCTAGTTGTCCCAGCATCATTTGTTGAAGGGAATATTCTTTCCCCATTGAATTGTTTTGGCATCTGTGTCAAATCAATTGACCATACATGCGGGGGGTTATTTATTGATTTTCATTTCTATTCCATTCATCTGTTCTTAGGCCAGTACCACACAATTGGGAAATATGAGTCTTCCAACTTTGTTATTTTTCAATGTTGTTTTGGCTACTCATGGTCTTTGCACTTCCATACGAATTTTAGGATCAGCTTGCTCATTTCTGCAAGAAAAGCCATTGGGCTTTTAATAGGGACAGTGTTGAATCTGTTGTTTGCTTTGGGGAATGTTGCCATCTTAACAATATTAAGTCTTCTAATCCGTAATTATGGTATATCTTTCAATTTATTTAGATTTTTAATTCTTTCAGCAATGTTTTATAGTTTTCAGTGTATAAATCTTACATCTTAGTTTTTTGTTTTGTTTTGATTTGTTTTGTTTGATAAGGGTCTCACTCTGTCACCTAGGCTGGAGTGCAGTGATGTGATTGTAGTTCACTGCAGCCTCAAATCCTGGACTTAAGCAGTGCTCCAGCCTCAGCCTCCCAAGTAGCTGATACTCCAGGTGTACGCCACCATTGCTGGCTAATTTTTCTATTTTTGGTAGAGATGCAGTCTCCTTCTGCTGTCAGGGCTGGTCTGAAACACTCCTGGCCTCAAGTGATCCTCCCACCTCAGCCTTCCAAAGTGCTGGGATTACAGGTGTAAGCCACTGTACCCAGATGTTAAATTCAGTCCTAATTATTTTATTCTTTTTTATGCTATTGTAGATGTAATTGTTTTTAAAATTTCTTTTATGAATTGTTCATTATGAGTGTTTAGAAATACAGATGATTCAGCAGACATGGTGGCTCACACCTGTAATCCCAGCACTCTGGGAGGCTGAGGTGGGCAGATCACTTGGGATTAGGAGTTTGAGATCAGCCTGGCCAACATGGTGAAATCCGTCTCTGCTAAAAATACAAAAATTAGCCAGGCGTGGTGGTGTGTGCCTGTAATCCCAGCTACTGCGGAGGCTGAGACAGGAAAATTGCTTGAACCTGGGAGGCAGAGGTTGCAGTGAGCTGAGATTCCACCATTGCACTTCAGTCTGGGAGCCTGGGTGATAGAGCAAGACTCTATCTCAAAAAAGAAAAAAAAAAATTAGCTGAATGTGGTGGTGTGCACCTGTAATCCCACCTAGTTGGGAGGTTGAGGCAGGAAAATCGCTTGAGCCTGGGAAGTGGAGGTTGCTGTGAGTCCAGATTGCACCATTGTACTCCAGCCTGGGCAACAGAATAACACCCTGTCTCAAAAAAAAAAAAAAAAAAAAGTAAAAACTGAGGCAGGCACGGTGGCTCACACCTGTAGTCCCAGCCCTTTGGGAGGCTGAGGTGGACAGATCACAAGATCAAGAGTTCAAGACTAGCCTGGCCAACATGGTGAAATGCTGTCTCTACTAAAAATAAAAAATTTAGCTGGGTATGATGATACATGCCTGTAATTCCAGCTACTCAGGAGTCTGAGGCAGGAGAATCACTTTAATCTGGGAGCGAGAGGTTGCAATGAACCGAGATTGTGCCATTGCACTCCAGCCAGGGTGACACAGCAAGACTCCGTAGGCTGGCGCAGTGGCTTACCCTTTAATTTTAGCACTTCGGGAGGCCGAAGTAGATGGATCACCTGAGGTCAGGAGTTCAAGACCAGCCTGGCCAACATGGTGAAACCCTGTCTCTATTAAAAATACAAAAAAATTAGCTGGGTGTGGTGCTAAGTCCCTGTAATCACACCTACTCAGAAGGCTGAGGCAGGAAAATTGCTTGAACTTGGGAGGCAGAGGTTGCAGTGCACCGAGATCACACCATTGCACTCCAATCTGGGCAACAAGAGCGAAACTCCATCTCAAAATAAATAAATAGTAAAAACTGTCTGTTTGTGTCTAGCACAGTGCCTTGCACATGTTAAGCCCTTGGAGAGTGACTTGCCTCCATGTGCTATAAAACTGCAGGCTTCTTTGGGGACCCCACCTGTGCTGTGGTCTTTTTGCACACCTCTCACTGGTGTGTAACTATGTAGGATGGGCTGGGACAGCTGTCTTTTATTTTAACCAGTTCTAAGAAAAAGGCACATGAGTCAAACTTTTTTCATGGATGGACAGGTAACTCAATTTAGAAATTATAAGAAG